AGGGCGGGGGCTTCGCTTGCGGTCACAGCACGGGGTGAGGGGGCTTTGGCCGGGCTCTTCTCGTCGGAGGACGTGGGGTGGCCCTCGCCGGCTCCAGCGGTGCCACCACCACACGCCCCCGTGACAGGCGTCCTCACCGGCAGCGTGTCCCGGAGACCATGTCCCCACCAGTGTGGTGGTACTCCGGTGCCCACCAGAGCGGCGGGGGGGGGGGGCCCGCGCGGTAATACCGCAACCCAGCCTCCTCCTTCCGCAGCGCGAGGTCAAGGCCAGAGATTGCATCATGTCAAAATACCATCACTTGTGACAGCACTTCACGATAATGTCCCTGATGAGGCAACACACTTCAACACACGGTTCAGTTCTTGGGGCTCAAGGCTGCTGGGAACGTGTCGCATTTCTCACAAGGGCTCAGACACTCAGGGAGGCGATAAGCCGTCCCTGCTGTTGACTGGATTGCTCAAAGCGCTTCTAAACCACTTCAAGATTAATAATAAATCTTTCAAACATCTTAAAGCATAGAAAAAGAGGTGATTGGCTCATGGGCTTAATACAGGCTTTATTCCGAAATCAAATTAATTTTTTTTTCTGAAAACTGCAAAGGATGGTTGTTGGGAATGTGAAGTTCCAGGCAGATTTCATTGTGCGCTACAAAAAGTAAATAAATTGTTGGTAGTGGTAATAAGACAGTCCTTCCAGTCACGTGGCGATTGATGGAGAGGCTGTTTTGTATTTCAAGTCAGGTGAGATACTCCAAGACAACTTTTTGGTACATTTTCTTTCATTGAATTACCTTTTTTCATGGCATTTAATTTCTGCTGCCATCTAGTCAATCAGTCAGGATGTTTCCTATACTCAGTATTTTTGATTTTTGGGATGCATTTGGATTTTTATGAAATATTCTTGAAGATAAGTTAAAGCAGATATTTATTTTTTTCTGAAGAAAAAGCCATTATAGCATTTTATACTACGCACTAGAAGGAATGCACTAATAAAGGTAAATATGGTAGAAATGAACATTAACCTCTTCAGGAAAGCACAGAAACATGAGCCTTTGGAATGCAAATACACTTTCTAAAACTGCATAAAAGCAAGAATTTCAGGTATGAATGCCTCTCATTTTATTACTTTTTTTTTTCCACTTCCTGTACTTTATTAGTCAGGAATTACATGGTTGACACTGGTGAAAAATAAGGCGTATGTTTTGTACAGTGGTTTTCCTGAAAACACCATCAAACAAGCAAGACACAAAAATATGTATAGATTCTGGACCTCCAGATTAAGATGCTACCGATCCATAATAATGCTTTATGTTTTTAATATCCAAAGTATTGGATGTATTCACTAATGTTCCTCATATTTATTAATCTTGGGAAGATAAATAATTATCTCCACTACATGCATAGAGAACTAAACCAGAAAATTATAAAGTGAGAATTATTGCAGGTGTAAGTAATTACAACCATAACGCTCTCCCTTGAAACTTTTCATGCTGCTACAAAGATGTGAATGACTTCAGTGATTCTCCTTTTCCTTCTGCCTCTTGCCTCAGTGCTATTTCAGCTGAGATCCCCACAAGCGTGGGTGCAGACTAAAGCTGTGTGTAAAATTAAAAAAGCATGGCATGATTTAAGCTGAGAGGCCCTCCAAATCATGTTTATACAGCAGCCGAGTGGAGAGTTTTGCATGCTCAGCACTTCTGAAAACTAAGCGCTACACAATTTTTCGCCAATATAGCATTTTTTGAGAAAATGAATGGAGGAATCAACATGTTCTCATTTAGCTATGGATTTTTGATTGGTCTATACTTAAGCTAATAGCATAACTATTTATTTGGTATAAATAAGACATTCTCAAGTGAAGATTGCTTTTGCAATCCATGGGAGGAGTCTTGAAGAAAAACACTGTGAAAAATAATTCAATCGCGGAAATAATTTTTTAACAGGGCCAGAAAGTTTGTGCTTGACGTAAGTTATTGAACACTTCTGTATTTGCTGTAAATGCAGCAAAAGCTTCTGGAAAACCTATAGCATAATGGAACTATAATCACTAGAGGAAAAAAGAAAGGGCACATGTCAGCAGGTTCCAGGTAACAAATGTAACGCAAAAGTACGTGACTACCTGAGGGCCCGGTCTTTCCATGCGTCGTTCTGTGCACGTCCTATCAGTATTAGATAAAATTTCATACAGACCATAAGAGCTTGCTTACTCTTTCAGAATTCAGTTTAGGAATCGGTGCTGTCAGCTCCACTATTCTCAGATCACTTGCACTCTGTAAAATTCATGAGGTATTGCTGGTTTGACAGTTGTGTTACAAAAAGCTATTCCTGCTAGATTTCTTTTCCCAAAATTTCCCATTGATTGGGAGTTTTGCATGTGGAATACTTACAGGAACAGGCTCCAGCTGCTAGTGCCAAAATGTCTAGTTTTAAAAGTTGTTCCACTCACCTTCAGATTGCTGAGTAAGGACTGGAAGACAAAGAATAGCAGTGAGATAGTGCTCAGGGACTGAAGGGAAATTTCAATAGAAGAAAGGAAAGGGGGAAGGACAGACTGACAGACAAACGGAAGGAAGGAAGGAAAGATAAATCAAAAGTTGCTGTAAAGTAAGGGAAAGTGCAAATAGCAGACTATGCAAAGATAGGAAAGGAGGATCCAACATTTAGGTTCAGTGTTTAACCAAAGTAATTGTAAAAGCAGTAGTTAGCTTGCAAACAGGAAGAAAGGCAATATGCAAAAATTGCATATTCCAACAACACGGACAATGTGAGAGTGGTGAAGCATAGGTGAGAGAGACCACATACATGCTCCTGAGAGAGCCATGTAATCTTGAGGACCCAGCTGGGCGTATGGATTGAACCGCAGCACGTCCTCACATTTGGAAAAATGTATGGTTGTGATGGCAGGAGAGGTAACAGCATTTTCTTTACCCTTTAGCGTGTCAATGCTGCTGCAAACCAGGAAGTCGAATTCTGGACAACTACCATGATATAACGAGGGAAAAAAAATAACTGCACAAAGTGCCAGTCATCATTTCCATTCATAAGCATTACCCATAGCTTAAATAGGGAATTGACAGGCTCAACCAATTGAATTTGAATGCAGTTAGGATGCCATCTTGTGACTAGCTGATAAATTACAGAACTGGGGTTTCTTGCCTTAATTTCTTAAATATCATAGAATCATAGACTAGTTTGGGTTGGAAGGGACCTCTAAAGGTCATCTAGTCCAACCCCCCTGCCGTGGGCAGGGACAGCTTCAACTAGATCGGGTTGCTCAGAGCCCCGTCCAACCTGACCTGGAATGTTTCCAGGGATGGGGCATCCACCACCTCTCTGGGCAACCTGTGCCAGTGCTTCACCACCCTCAGCGTAAAACATTTCTTCCTTATATCTGGTCTAAATCTACCCCCCTTTAGTTTAAAGCCATTCCCCCTTGTCCTGTCGCAACAGGCCCTGCTAAAAAGTTTGCCGCCATCTTTTTTATAAGCCCCCTTTAAGTACTGACAGGCTGCAATAAGGTCTCCCCGAAGCCTTCTCTTCTCCAGGCTGAACAACCCCAACTCTCTCAGCCTTTCCTCATAG